GCATCTTCTTTAGATGTTATATGGCTTATATACTTGATAAAAAACTTTATTTTAACAACGGCCCGACGTTTCGGATGCTTCGCAGCAGCCGCGGTCACGGGGAGGTAGATATATTTCATACTGTTAAGTGGACCCTATGTTTGTCTGCCTTTTCCCAATGATAACAAACCCACTATCCAGAATAGGTCGTACGTAGGTGGAAAGGTGGGGTAATTCGCCATTCATTTAGTCACCATAATACCCACGCGACAAGCATCCTCTCTCTTAAAAAATTGGTTTGTAGAAATAACTTGGTTAATTTCTTTACCCGGTTTCGAGTCTCGGCGAAAACGACGAATTGTATTTCTCTTATTACAACGTAAACGCCGTTCAAAGATTGTTAAGATGGAATTAAAGCCGCTTCCCGTTTAGAATGACATGTTACTATCGCTGTCCGTTTGTTTGTTTGTCAATAATTCGATAGTACTAAATACACTTGTACTCCTTATCGCGACATGATAAACAGAATAACATGGGTTTAATCATTATGTTAGCTTGTGTAAGAGAATTTATATAGTCTGTGTGCTGAGATAGAAGTCATTTAAATAAAACACTGTAACGGTTTAAAACGCGATTTTTTTGAAAACGCTTTGCAACAGCCGTGGTCACGGGGAGGCCAGAGATAGAAGTCATTTATCTGTTACGACAGAGGGGGAAGGACATATTTTTTTATGATAGCGGAAATACTCCAGCCATATAACACAACAACAAGATGTGCTGTTAATCTATTTTGGCTTTGGATATTCGGAAATGCACAGAATGACACCGAAACGCGATTAAAACAAGCCCCTACAGACCCCCCCCCCCGCTCTCGCCGCATTTTCAAGACTTATGCGGACCACAAAAACATTTTGATTGTATTTCCAAGATATACAACACAGTAGTACAGTACAGTTATTCAAGTGTAATGAGTAGGTACATATATTTTTAATACATTAGTAAAATACCCACTTTTTACTTGTATCTATTGTTCTTGAAAATAAATTATATTTTAATTACTTGACCAAATCTGGATCCTCCCACGTGATAAATTGCATATATCATCCAAACAAAAATAACAACATAATTAAATTAGCAAACGATAGTTTTCGTTTGTACTTAATATAATTAGCAACAATGCTGCTTCAATGTCAGCTAAAAGTGGAAACTGAGCGTGGGAAGTGACACTATGCTTTTTATTTATTTAGGATATTTTTAAATTTTACAATACTTTTATAAAATTACACAAAGCACAAATACTAGCTGTATATTGCTTATTCTCTTTGTTAAATATATAAATGTCATTTTATATACAGCCTTTTTGTAAGGTATGTAAATAGAATTTAGAATTAACTATATTAAAATATGTTGACCTTCAGTGAAAAGATGTATCCGTATGGAAGAATGAAAAACAAAAAGTCTTTATATAATATATCCTAATATATAAAGCTGAACAGTTTGTTTGTTTGAACGAGCTAATCTGAGGAACTGCTGTTTCGCATTGCAATTTTTTTTGTGTGTTGGTTACAGCATTTGTCGAGGAAGGCTATAAGACATGTGTAGTTTAGTGAGTGCTCTTAAATGATTGGGACATAAATCTACTATCTAATAAACTATATCCATGAATTGTATTATTGTTATTAAATTCACTGTAGAAAAGCTGTGACAGCACAGTTTTTCTACAGTTTTTACAGTACATTAGCACAGGCTAATTCGTCTACATAATTGAAAACCTTTAGCTTTATTTTACATAAAAATAAAATAAAAAAGTAACGTTCACAAACAAAATTATGCAAAATTTTCACACGATGTTCATTTTAGCTTGTATTAAAAGCTATGCCTATATTTAAGATCGAAAAATAAAACACGCTTGACTTGAACATACGACCAAGCTTATATTGTGCACGAATCTCTTAGCAAGTGAAATTACATACTTAAGTAAAAAATGGGACCTAAAATAACTTCAAATTATGGTCACCCCACTCCCGAAACCGTACCGGTACTAACAAAGGGATTTATTTCGTAATTAAATTCGCGATAAACTTATTTTGTCAATAGCGTAAGTTTCTGGGTTCCGCAATACTTTGAACCGTTGGAAAATTGAGAAATTGTAGTACACATTTTAATCAAACACTTTAACGGTTTTAAACGCGACGGCCCGACGTTTCGGATGCCTTCCCCGTGAGCACGGCTGCTGCAAAGCATATATGTATATAGTATTTTAAACCGCCAAAGTGAATACTTAATGTCAGGTAAAATTTATCAAGCCCCCATAACATCGAAGTCAGATGTGTTGTCTACCAATTTTTTATACATTCGGAAATCAACAAGCTGAGCTCAAGACTGAAGCTTATGTTTTAAAAACCAGAAAATAATTTAGCAACATGTTTGAGCTACTTAGAGTCGAATCCAGGGCCTCCTTACTATATCATGAGCTGAATACATTTTTGAATTTTGGGTAATATTTTACGGAAGGTCAAACTCTTGTCCGTTATCTTTTAATATGACTTAAAATACGAATAATCGCATAACGGTTTAAAACGAGAATACATTACTTTATTAATTTTTAATTACAACCCGACGGAATTTTGGATTCAAACTGGAGCAGTCATCACGAGGGAACTGTCCCATTTGTTTTATAAAGTTGAAAGTCTTTCATGAACTGCTGTTACACACACACACAACGGACAATACTTCAATCATTACATTTTAGTTTTATGTTGACAGACAAACGATTTGCATATAGCAATTGTCTGTAGTTTACGCGAGTAGTAGATATTTAAACTAAACACTTTATCGGCTAAAACGCGAAATATATTACTTAATTTATTTACAATGGTCGGGCTAGAATAATTTGTAACAAATTTAATATATTTTGCGTTTTAAACCGTTAAAAGTGTTTTATTAAAATTTGTATAACTTTTATACAACTTACATACTTATATTAACTGCATACAAGCTTATAATTTTTACTGTTCTACGTTTAGAGTTGTAGACTCTACACATTTTTCTTCGCACTTTAAAAAATGCTGTATGCTGAACCATTACAACATTTAACGCACTTGGCACGTTCTTTTAACTAGTTACGTTGACGATAAGAGGATTAAAATTTTTACTTCTGCGGATTCATAATGGTACAGTTACACAGTGCCCGAAATTTTCCATCTCAAAATTTTGCCAACGCAACTACTAATTTAAAAGTAAGATTTTAACAGGCTGTCTTATTGTTGAAGTTCCATTTATTCTTTGTAGGTATTATCGATTTAATTTCGAGAAAGTTAACCAGGCTTTTGTGCTCTGTAAGACCGAAACTGCTGCTACAAAGCATCCGAAACGTCGGGCCCAAGTTAAAAATCATTTTCAAATAAGTTTAACTAAAATATCGCGTTTTAAACCGTTAAAGTGTTTTATTTAAATGTGTACTACTCGCGTAAACTATAGACAGTATCTAAGACCGAAACTGTTTATTATGTTTCTTCTTAAATCGAATATTATATAGTTGTAATAAAACAAAGCAATTTAATCATTTGATCTAGAATAATTTCAGTAAGACGAAGATATTCTACAAAAGAAAAACTAGGAATAAATACTTTGGGCTCGAAAAATTTAAAAGTCAAAACTATGCAGGCCTAATAAGTTTAAATTACTTTTTGCACAAAAGACAATATTACTTAATTATTTATTATTCAAAATAATATTTTGGAAACTCAATTATCTGCCTCTGTACTTTTATTTTGTATTAAGTATTTACTCAATCATTATTTTGTAACTCTTTATAAGATTTACTTTTTAGTTACTTTATTTTTTTTTCAACTAGTTCAAATGCACACCTCATATGATGTGGATAAAACCAATATAATAATAACACATTCTCTCGTAGCGTTATTAAACAGTAAATATTGTTAGGAATATAGTTGACTTTTAAAGTGCCTAAGTATTCTTTAATAATATTTAATGAGCTTAAGCGTATGCATTATAAAACATTAACGTCAGCTTTAATGAATTTAATGTTTTATCTACGTTATTATGGGGTACGATATTGTTAGGTAACCATAAATACGCAGCATAATGCAGGTTATTCACTATTTTACTGTCCTACGTAGCCTATTAAAATATTTTCCCCATATTGCATCGTCATAGACATCGTAAAACCTCTATTTGAGCTTGGCGAGCTTAAAAGCTTGTGTTGATGCATTTTTTTACTTATTGTCTGCGTTCACAATATACAATTCCAGCTATAAATTTTAAAGTGCCATTCAAGTCGAAATGTGAATAGAAAACTTCAATTCTACATCTTATTAAATTTATCAAGTCATTTAGTAGAAAAAATATTTTACTTGTAATAAAAACTTGTTCATAACGTACAAAAAACAAATGAATATCTATTTTTCACGTTCTAAAGATTATATTAGGTGTTTCACAATAACCGACGCTTTAGGTGTTCACCAAAGACGTTCGATATTGGAAGCTTTGAACGCAGCTTTAAGGTAGCGGGGCGAGGTGTGCAGGGGAGGGTGTCGCATGCGTACAGCGGGCAGGGACTACATTCCATTAGTTCGTCCGGCCACCGCGCGGCGCTACGTTGCCTTATTGAGTCCGCGACGCCCGCTCTATACAAAGAACGCCTCAGTATTGTAAAAAATCTGTGATGTATTGATTAATTCCAACGTTTTTCAAACACAAAAAGTATCTTTGTACAAAAACGAACGCGTTTCGGTCCTAACAACAACAGTTTCAGTGAACATTGTGAGCTTTCGAAGGGGCCACGTCCCATGAAATTCCACATTTATCGACTAGAATCTTGTGTGTGGGGCGAACATGGAGGACCGCGGCGCGAGCAGTGAAAACGTTTATGTTGTGTTATAAAGCAGAGCGTAATGGACGTTATATAAACTTGTACTAAATATGGATTGGTATGTGAACGGCAGTGTTTAGAACGTATGCTTTACCGGATAATGCGAGTGTAGATCACAGAAACAAGAATGGTGTCCTACGCTTACTTCGGGCTGCGTCAAGCGCCTTGGACACTGCTAGTCCTCATTTTCTTTATCGAGAGCGTCATGGGCAACTTCGCCAAGTCCTTCTACATACATTGGAACACGACGAACAGTATATTCAGAATAGACAACACCGATCATGTTTTCGATCTGAATAAAGGGAACGCTCAATTCGAGTACGACCAAGTGAACATAATATGTCCGTTCTACACGCCTGGCACCTTCGAGGACGACACGGAAAAGTACATCATTTATAATGTTAGTAAAGAGGAATACGATACGTGTAGGATAACGAATCCAAACCCTCGCATTATCGCGATATGCGACAAGCCGCACAAACTAATGTATTTTACAATAACCTTTCGCCCGTTCACACCGCAACCCGGGGGGCTCGAGTTCCTTCCGGGGAAGGACTACTACTTCATATCGACGTCCAGTAAGGACGACTTGCATAGACGCATCGGCGGTCGGTGCCTCAGTCATAACATGAAGCTCGTGTTCCGGGTCTGCTGCAAGCCCGAGGAACAGTCCCCAGTTCCTCCGGCCCAGCAGACCCCGCCGCCGCCACCGCCTCCCCCCACTTTCCCACCGACGACCACAACGACGACAACGATCAAACCGGTGACGAAAAAGACGCACAAGTACGATAAGACTCCGAATGAGGTTGTGAAGAGCGAGGAACTGTCCTACTCCCGCGGGGCAGCCCTTGCGTCCTCGATCGCCCTGGCTCTCGCTGCTAGTGCTGTGCTGGCGCCCCTGGCTCGGTGAATGTGTGCTAAGGCGGCTAGACGACCGCGACGCGAAGCCAAGCCTTCCGACACACAAACTCTGCAATATTTGCGACCCGACTCTCTCATATATTCGTGAATCTGTGTGTGAACTATGTGATGTGTATTGACGGATTTCAGTTTGTATCTAGTGGTGCCGGAGTGTTGGACTGTGAATTTCCTAGTTTCCAGAAAGTTCCATTGACAAATTTCGTTTAGTATAAGGAACCGTGCGCCTAATTTTTACTATTACAAATATTGGGCCTATAAAAGTAATCGAAGTAAGATCTTAGCAGATACTGCTGTAGTAGCGACGTAAATATACATGCATATATATATAAATATTAAAAAGTTAACATGTATTATAATGGTAATATAGGTTTCTTAAACCGTTAGGAATTAAATTTTTTATATTTTCACTAATGCAATGAAGGATATTTGACTAAGGGATAGAACTCGATAACTGTTAGGAGAAGTATAATTTAGAACATGTTAGGTTACAATTAGTTTGAAACGGTTTTATTTCCACGACCTAACGCTTAGAATTTATTTATACGAAATTTGAGACAAGCAAAACAACTTGTCCGGAAGCACTGTGATTTTGGTTTTATTTAGGATGTAATTTTTGTCTATGCTTTTTATGTGATATCGAACTAATGTATTTAAAATGTGCATTTCACCTCAATTTTCTCTCGACTGATTTATAAGCTTCTTTTATTGATTTTACGCGAGCTATTTTCGAAACTTTTCTTTTTAATCACACTCGTGACTCTTCGTCATTTGGTGCTCATTTCTCGAGCAGAACGGCAACATACGTAAAATCTTTGCCTCATAGCCTAATTACCATCATTTTCTCATACATCATCTGTTTTTGGAATGATTTTATCTTTTGTATCGGCGTCATCAATCATACGAACGTACAGTTATACAAAGGGATCTTTACCATTAACTCGGCCTGCTTCAGTTCATCAATAAAAAGGTACACCGAAAATAAGTAAAGAATGACTGAATCTGGCAACATTAAAGGATTTTTGACGTCTTTTGAATACCCTTGGCTCGTTTAGAGATGATTTGACGTCCCAAACGCTTGAGAATCATTCCAATTTCAGTGAAGCACACCTGTGCCATTACAATTAAAATAGTAAAATAGTCAAGTAGTTGAAATAGTCCGGTTTTCAGTTAGACATACGCATTTAGTGGCAGTCTATATTTTTAAATAGTGCTTAAGGTTTTAAGCGCTTGAGTTTCATAATGCATTTGAGCTAAGAATTTAAGAATTGCGTAAGCGCCTATGAAATATTGCCATAATCTGCACAAGGTACTTGCATTACTATCGTTACCAAGAAATGCCTTGATACAGCAATTCCTCATATTTATCGCCTCCACAACACCTCTATAACGCAATATTTCTTCTGTCTAGCGAAATTTAATTTTGTAATATCAATCCTTAGTTATTGCATACATTTATCATGGCGGCGGCTATTATAGGCCAACCGTTTGCGTAAAGATCTTTAAATTTACATTAGATTGAACAAAATAATATCCATAGAAGCTTCTAGCAATGCCTATGATTTACTATGGTTACTTGAAAATGGCGAAAGATCGCCACGCAAGTTGCAAAGAAACAAATTGCGCAAAATTTCTTGTTGAAGAAATGAAAAGAGTGAGTAATTTGCATTCATAAAACAATCGGTTTAATTGTAAACACGTGAGTAAGCAAGTGAGTGCATTGTTGCAAAACATTGAATGAATCCAGATGGTTTTTATCTATGACTCATATTAATTATGTCACAATCATCGACAATAATGAGGTTTCAATGAAAAAGATGATATATCAATTAATTAGAAAAATAGAGGAGAACATAGGCATATTTCGTACTATAGTGGTCACGAATCTTTTGTCAATTAGTGTTGGCGATGAATTTATCGCACCGTATCTTTATTTCTTACTAAAACCACTGAAACATAAATAAAATTAGCCATCTGACGTTCATATAAACAGCGAGGTGACATGGAAAGCTAATGCATTGTTTTCTAAACAAATTTTTAAAATACCGTTTATTTTCGATTCCTATTAATGTAGGGTTGTCTAAAGTATGTTTTTTTGCAAGAATTAGATTATGAGTTGGAATTGAATTATTTAAAGAACATAACACCAGGAAACCTTTTAATTTTATTATATGTAAATTACACACCTTTATGTGCAACTTATATATTTTGACAATTAAAATATTAGGATTTTGTTAAATCAATTCTTAAGACACTCTCGTTTCGTCACAATTCAGAAATTATTGGTACTTAAGAATTGTTGGTACTTGTACCAACCCTAAAAACCATGTCGCCATATGCTGAGTGGCTGAGTGCGTCTATTTTTATGAACAGTTTATTATACTTAAGCGTTTCGTCGTACTCCTTAAACTTCAGCTATTTTCAGGATACACTGAAGGGATTGTGGAAATGTTTGCTACAATAACGTATAAAAACTATACTAAATAAATAACAGTTTGAAAATGTCCACACGAGCAGTTGATTTAGCAAACAGACGTAAAAGTGTATCCGTCCACTGTTCAAAGGAGTGCGACAATGAAAAAAGCAAAGTCAGCTCAATCGTATCGCTTCGTCTAAAGGCTACCCGGTCAATTCTGAGAAAAGCTTTGTCAAAACTAAAGCCGATCTCACCAAAGGTGCGAAGCTTTGTCGCGCAAACGATAGAAAATTTCAAAAGATATAAACCAGCGGACGAGTCTCGAGTGAACAGCCGCTCGAGAAAGATTCTAATTAATGACTCCAAACAAAACATACCAACCTTGAACGCACGATTTCAAAACAAGACAATAAAAAGTTGGACGTTATTATTCATACCCTCTATAATTTCATAGAGATGCGTATAATTGTGTTCAGATGACATCAAAGAATTTCACTTGAGATTAATTGACGACATCTAGCGAGTTTAACAAGAATCGGGGAATCTATTTTCACGTGTCACGTTCTTGGAAGAGATTAAAAATCTTCATCATAGATGAGAGCTACAAAGGATTATTTTGTTGTTCTCCTAGATTGTAGTGTTAAATTGAGTTTGTGCTTTTCAAGATTTATCACAAGTAAAATTACTTGCACATTTAGTATAATAATGCAATACATTGTGACTATAGCACTCATGTTTAGAACAGTGGAGTAGATAAAGTTATATATCATTGTAACAAAGATGTTTATATCAGAGAAGGTTCTTAAAGATGTTTGCGGTTTATTCAGAAGAGACGAATAATCCTTCTGGCAATAGGAAACACAACATAAAAAGCATATATTATGCACAATCTGAAGGGATTATCTTCCTCCTGACTACATTTAAGGGTAAGCCCCAGTGAGATCTTAAAACCCACGCAACGAGATAAAGAGAAAGTCGTAATGTGGTAGTTTTAAATAAATATAACAATAGGTTTAATACGTTTTGTTCAGAGATAATAATCTGTTTGCAAGTAATAGAGATCGGATCGGTGATCCTGATGAGACGAACATTAAATAACCTTTAAAGAGGATCTAAGTTTTTTAACTTTTAACATACCCTCAGATAAAATACTATCCGTAGTAAACACACTTAAATAAAACACTAACGGTTTAAAACGCGATATTTGAAAAAAAATCTTGAGCTACGGCCCGACGTTTCGGATGCTGTGCAGCAGCCCCGTGACCAGTTTAACTAATATATATCGCGTTTTAAACCGCCAAAATGTTATATTTAAATACTCGCAGATTGATTTGCCCTGAATTATTGTAATTGATATATGTATTGACAATATCAACAATAGAAAACAGTAATATAATAATGGTTAATACAAAGTGGAAATTTCCGATTCCAGAGAGTTTTACAACTTACTGGAATAATGTTATAACCAAGTACACTTATTTGTTCGATAGTTTTCTATGACCAGTCAAATTACTAGATAACAATAAGAAAAATTCGTCTCGTTCTATAATTAATACAAAGCTTCCGTTACCGGGTGGCCGCTAGCACGAAGCTATACACCACGAATGCAATATGAAACTCAACGCATCAGTTTAGTAATCTCTCTGATTAGTTTTTGGTTAGTTGTGCTGTGTACTTAGAATAATTACATCGACCTCGTTTTGAATCTCTAATGAAACAGTCCGTTAGATAATAATTTTATAAAAGTTGGGCAGCCTCCAAGACACAATGTAGCGAGCGAATACGCTTGATATATAATGTGACATGTTAAAATGTTTATAACAAGAAGTGCCGACATAAATTTTGGTAAATCTGCAATTCTTGGTGTCCGAAACTCGATTTAATGTTACGAAAGCGTTTAGCCGAATAATGCGTATTTTTCGGCTGCAACTTTGTATGTTAGCCTTTATTTATGGCGTACATTATACACCAGTCATTTGATGGCATATATACGCCTACCCTCATTTTACTCAAAATTAACCAAAACGTTCAAGCCTCACCTGTTAATTGGTTTGTTTTCAAGACTTGGCTGTCATATTCTGATGGTAAAAGTTTATCATTCAATTGAGCCCTAATTTGTTACGATAAAAGGGACATCGTTCGTAATGACTCTGGAAAACGGTACTATTGTCATATATTTGACGGGGTTTTCTCAATTTAGTCGCCTTGTCTATAGTGTGGTGTCTCTTAAGAGCGCCATATTAAATTTGACAGTATTTCTTAAATAACCCATTTCTTAATAGCCCTAATACTGAGAGACTGCAAGATGACGTCACATGCAAATAGGCCAACGCATTTATGTCAATTTAAATCACAGTTATGCGAGGTTAGTTTTCAATTGGGGTTCAAGAACTGCGATCAATTTAAACTGTATTCATTGCGATTGAATTACATTGAGACCGATACAAATGTATCGGCCACTTAATTGATAATTCTGTGCGCATAAATTATAATTCACTAACCGGATTGACGCGAAGCTATCGAGAACGATGAGAAAAAATGTCCCACATTTTAAACGAGGCAAATTAATTAATTTAATATAATGACATAATGCCCATAATAATCAATTAGCCTAATTTTTATCGCGATGTATTTAGGGTTTCATCGTTCGTGCATTGTGTCTGAGGCCCGACAATTATTGATAATATTATGTAAGTGAAAATGAATTTCTTTTAAACTATGGTATAGTTAAAATTATTCGAGCCGCTCGTGAGACAAGGTAGAAATATTCAAAAGGTGCCTGATTTATCGTGGTTTGTTTTAGCTTTTCGTTATTTTAAACTGGGTTAGCTGTCTCTATTAAACTCCTAAAAAGGGACAGAGATAGAATGTCGGCTTAACACTGAAATGTTCAGTATTAATCAGTGACATTTTAATCTTTGCAACTAAAGAAGCTCCTAGTTCTAGTTCCGATATGTTTCCAATTATTTAATACTCGGAATTCTGCATTTATTTTCGCTTTAATTTCAAAAAGCTGATCCAAAACTCGATAAATCATTTTGTTGCTCAGCGGGGGTTGTAACTTTTTTAAATTTAGACGTATTATGTTTATTTAATTTAAATTATATCTATATTTTATAAATTTATTTTTTTCGTCCATTTATAAGAGGAATGAATCTTTGGTATATATGATCATCGTGAAATTCAAAAACATAGTGGCGAAAAAAACAATTCAAATAACACCTGAGTTAAATGGCAAAAATCTAATAGCATTCAAGATGTCGGATTTTGATTATACGGTATTGAGCCGAATAAAAAACGGTTAATCGATAAAATGAATGGTGTTAAGAAGCAAAAAATGCTTGATAGATGTTAACGCCTTGTCTCGAACAATCATTGTTTTTTCGGGTTTTAATTATTTAAGTGGTTATTGCTCCGGGCTGGGGCTTAGCATATTTTAGTGCACTATGAAGAACTAAATACGTATACGCGAAAGATTCATTTGTCTCCATTTAAAATTCACATTGGTGCTAACGACTAAAGTTACTACGAAAATGTTTTTTATTTGTACACTCTTTCTATTTCACGAAGAAGCGTTTGCCAATGAAAGCGGTTTCTTGTCACAGTAACATCGAATTTGTGACAGATTCAAAATTTGCGTTAGATCTTTACAGAAACCTCCTTCGTGGAATAGAGATAAGACCTTTCACGAGACTGAAAAAAAATTCTTTGTACTTAATTTTAATATAGCGTTATAAATCTACCTCTTAAACTGTTTAAAAGTATTTTTCTATGTAATATTAGATTTCCGCCTTGTCTCACAGTGGTAGCGTAATTCCTAAAATGGCTGTCGCCATATCCTAAAAAGATTGTTGATTCGAAAAGAAAATTCTAGTGTAGTATCGCTGTTTGGTATAAATATTTTGCGACTATATATATTGATAAATAAGCGGCCATATTGTTTGGGTAGAAATAGGAGCAGAGGTAAGCGGAGGGGGAAAAGTTTGTACATAATAATTGGACGAATAGTCAGTACGATTGTGTCATGCGTACTTGTTGCATTTGAGTTAAATGAAATAAGAATACTGTGGTATTATTTATTTATTATCTGTATTTATTGGTGTCAAAAATACTGGCCGAAACGATGAATTAAGAATTTTATTAAAGGACTTGTGTATTTTGACGTTGTAAAAGATATCGTAAGGTCACAAATTCCAGCTTAGACTGTGTGTAGAGCTATAACAATGTTGGCACTCAAAAACAATGTAATTCTAAATCAGGTTCTTCGTCTATAAATGACTAATTAATCCACTGAGCCGTAAAATTAAACTGGTTTACAATGATATGCTCAAAAGATGGTTTTATGTTTTTATTATTTATAAGATCCTTATTACGATTGTTTTAATTAAAAGGCTCGCTTGACAGTATTGTATAAAAGTATAAAGTGATAGCAAGAATATTATTCCGATACGACGAAAAAACTTGTACTATTTGCAGTTCACGCAAGTGGTGTACAGTAAATAAAGAATTCGAATGGTTTAAAACGCGGACTGTATTATTTAACTGCGAATTTCGAAAGCAGACAATTATAGTAAAAAATATTTAATTTATTAAAATTCACAATAACATTGAATTTGAGTTATATTTTTAAACATATTTCACGGATTAAACCGTTACATATGTACCACTTGCGTATATTGCAAACAGTACTAACTGTGACGCACTTTTAATGGCGTTTGAATACATTGAAATTAACTCACCAGTGCAATATTAACAAGTGTATTGAAATAACATTATCAACAATTAATATAACAATGGTGTATCAACATTTTTTAAACTATATTCAGAAGAACTTAGGAGTCTGTTCTTGCTATCATGACTCGAACCGTTTTCTAATTAAATTAATCAAGGCTCTTCATTGTAACAATATTGTGAGAACAGTTAGTTTGATTAAACTATTTATGACGTCATCTGATCGAATCCTGATTGGCTACAACTAGCCAATCGCAGCTCAAGGACTCCTTTCAACGTCATTGGCTGTCATACAATTGTTTGATAATGAGATTACAGGAGCGTATTCAATAGCTATACTCGATAGCATGTCACGCATCGTTTATACGTTTTAAAATTGTATGTTATTTTTTAATTCGACTTTTCCTCTGAATTCGAAATCTGGATTATTCAATAAATTTCATTGCACTATCGTTTTACCAAGATGCCGGCCACTAAAGTAATTATAGTATTTGCAGTAATGTTAGAATGATCTAGAATATCATTACTACCACAAACACATAACTGAACGTCAAGTATCGTAAACACTGTTCCATACATTAGCGAGTCGTTGTGCGTTTTATTACATACTTTACCATCTCAACACGATATTCTATGAGTGCCCAAACGTGCCAGTATAACTCGCCCATCGTATAAGACGTTCTAATCTTACAGCAAATAACAATCTCTGCTCTTATTTATAAA